CGTGTCCCCACAATAATTTTATTAATATTGCCCTGAGAAGGCTGTCACGCGCTACGTAGCTCGTATATCTGAGCGGGAAAAAACATGATATATTGAGAGAACGGGAGACATAAGAGCCTTCCTCGCAGTCCTCAGTTTAGTGTCTATTTAGTGAGCATTGTTTATGGATCTTGAGAGAAATTGCGTTTTAAAATCTTCTCTCCAGTTTTTATTGAAGCATTTGATGAAAATAATTAATGTTTATCTTTTGTGTATTTTGCTAAGAGTTGTTTTCTTGGAATAAATTATATTTAAGGCATTATTTTAATTCATTTTGAAATGAATTATTAAAGGGTGATAAAAGTAGGTGCATAAGTTTTTCTAATATAAAGCAAATTATTCCAAAGCGTTTATAAAAACTTTACCCTAATTTCGATAGAAGTTGAGTGAAGGTAGATATGAAAGTATTTTCTTATTTCATGAACTCATTGATTCTTCTTAAATATATACTATTAAAATAACTTTCAGTAATATGAAGACACAAAATATTATCTGTCATTTTATATTATTTAGAGATGTTTTCTTCAACTACGAACCATCTTGTAACTTTGATTTTAGGTGATTTGTAAAAACCAATATCACCTTTATCACATTATTTCAAATAAATAGCTTACATGAATAAAAAAGAAAATAAATCAGTGGCGCTACAACCTCTTTAGGTCTTGGCCTCAGATTTCTGAATCTGTTTCATGATCATTTTTAAATCTAATAGGCAAGTAGGCCATCAGCCTCCAGTGCCTGACACACGCCGTCGACTTTTTGGGTCTAAGACATGTCAGTTTCCTCACAATGTTTTCCTTCACCGTTCGAGCAAATGTTAAATGCGCACATAGAAAGAAACTCCATTGGTTCACAGCCGGAGATCGAACCTACGACCCCGGGTATGAGAGTCGCAGCTTACTTGAATTACTTTGTCAAATTCTGTTTACGTGAAAAAAACGAAATATAGTGAATACAAGTCAGTTTGATAATGATAATATTTCGCATTAGACACTCATATTTTATCCATAAAGGATTGTGAATAGGCTTGATTAGAGTTTAAGACATATTACAAAAATGTTATTCCAGCTAGATACATAACAAATGAAGCACAATATACAGTAAACCTTGATTGGGAAGGCTGGGTGACCCCTACGTAGGTGAATGTTACACACGGTAAAAACACTGTAGTTAGTAAGGGTATATTTCTGTGACTAAACTTTAATCAGTTTAATTTTACTAATATTCTATTAAGAGAAGCTCCTGACTGTGGAATTATAATCTAATATATAAAATTCTCGCACAGAGAAGTGCGCAAAAGAGAGTTAAAAGGTGGGCCGATGAAATCATGGAAATGGCTGGAAAGACTAAGACCTGGACGAGATTGGTATACAATAAGGAAAAATGGAGGATAATGGGGGAGGCCTTTGCCCGTAGGTACACAGAATCAGTTATCGTAGATTAAGAAAAACAATATTTATAATGTATATATTTTGTATTTCTGATATAAGGCTATAAATAAATATAAAATTCTCGTGTCACAATGTTCGTTCCCATACCTCTCCGAAACGTCTCTACCGATTCTTATGTAATTTTTTATGCATATTTTGAGAATCGGCTACTATCTATCATTCAAACCCCTAAATGTTAAGGGTGGTCCACCCCTTAGCTATTATTTTTGTAATCTATTATATAATATTCTCGTGTCACAACGTTCGTTCCCATACGAGGAGTACGAAACGACTCGAGCGATTTTTTTTTATTTTACAGTATACAAAATTTTAACCCCTATTTTTAGTATAGTAGATAGTTATTTTTATTGAACTAAAAAATGTTTCCTAGAAATAATATACATGGCAAAACAACATTTGCTGGGTCAGCTAGTATTCTAATAAAATTATCATGATTATAATGTGGAATGCGTTACATTCCTCATTCATGCGTGTCTGTAAACGAAAAACATAAAAATCTAACTATTATTAATGTTTGCATGTCAGTACAATCCTACCGCAATTATGAGTGGAACAATTCTTTAGTGCCCTCAAGCACGACACAATCTTAACCTTATAGCTGTACATTAGGCTACAACCTTTAATTTAATATAATTTATATTTCCTATACATTAGGTTTAACACTATTGAAAACTTAATTATGTCAATGAAATTGAATGACTAAATTCGTTAATGTTTAAAGTTTGTATTGCGTGTTGCTATTGAACTAGTATTAAATTATGGCAAGTATATCTTATTATGTAAAAATATAATAGTCATACTATGTATAGTATATAGAGCACGAAACTGGAAGAGTTATGTTAACGATATATATGTTGCGATAAACTACTATAAGTTTTATTTATAGTAAACTTTTACCTTTTCAAAAACTTTAAGTTGAGTAGTTTTTAAAGATTATTTTTCAATTTTTAATGTATTAAAACATAACTTATAAAATTCTACACAAAAAAATATTTTCCCTAGACTCAAAGTACCAAGCCAAAGAGTTATGAAAACTCTCAGATTATTTTAATATTAAATTTATATTCAGATATAAAAGAAACCTTGAAATAAGTCTGAAACTTGCTCTATATTTTTTGAACACAACCATTTTCATTGTAAATCATATTAGTGACCCTACGCCTCTATGCAATGTTATTGTGGAGGTCAAAGGTTGTTGAGAAAGGGACGACTTCTATTTACAGAAAATATGTCGATATTTGATGTGTTTTGTATTTACATATTTTAGAACCGCATTGGTGTTGCTCACATTATAATATAATATAATATAATATAATATAATATAATATAATATAATATAATATAATATAATATAATATAATATAATATAATATATATAATAATATAATATAATATAATATAATATAATATAATATAATATAATATAATATAATATAATATAATATAATATAATATAATATAATATAATATAATATAATATAATATAATATAATATAATATAATATAATATAATATAATATAATATAATAAGACAATAAGTTTCTGTGAGCGTGTTATGTAGGCCACACATCTATTAAGTAAAATACATACAATATCATCATCAGATCATACAATACATCACATCATTGAACCCAAACAGTTAGATTGCGCTGCTAGGAAAGACAAAACAGGACCGCCCTAAACAATCTCAGCCACGCTCAGTTGTACCGCCATTCGGGGGCCTAAAACTACGTGGCTTTAATCGTATAAGAACGCGTTGCGATGCACTGTGGACGCCTTCGACTTCGTTAGTATTTGTATAAATTTTTAAAGTACTAAACCAGTTATATTGATGTTACTTATTTTGTGGATTTGAACGTTTTCCAAATTCACGAATATATTTTGACATGTGATGATAACACGTTAAGGCTTGTAATACTAATTACTACTAGTTTTTGTATAATGTATGAATGAGTTGTTAGCTAGGGTAAAATTGCTTTTATTACATCGTGGGCTCCGGTAAGTCCAACGTCGTTTGACGTAACCTTTTGGATTATTCATAAAAGCATAATGTTAAACAGTATTAACATCAGAAACATATGTTATCAAATATTTTATGAATTAACCTTTATCATGTCACGAGTATGTCAACATCGCCATTGTGGAACAAATTTCATAGAAATTTAATTTTACTAAAAGCACATGAATATCAAATCTCTAACCTTCTGTATTACGGGATAACTCTTTTAAAACAAAGACGTAATCTATCTTTATTTTGTTACTTTTCGGGAGTAAATTGAAAAGTCCAAGTAAGTATGAACGATGATGGCATTACTCAGCCAGAACACGTTGACAGTCCCCGTAAAATAGGTTTATTTGATGCGAATGAGACATTTTAATATTGCTCCTATTTATATTCTCTTATCGCGAAAGAAATAAGCGCGTTGGCAACGAAACAGCGCTATTCACTTAATTCTTCTATCGATAAGTGTTTTTGATATTGGAAATACATATTTATGTCGTAGTCTCTACATTTAAGAGACATTATTAGCATATGAATGGCTGTATTTCGATTCTTACTGTTTTTAAATAACGCGTGGTAACTAACAATATTCAATAGTTTAAGTTTTACAATAAAATCGTACCTCTAACCGTAAATCTATATTTTAAAGACAAGACGGATATTCTCTCAAAGCTCAAATCAAATCTAATAAGGGTGTCTCAGCGCCCATTTTAAACTTTAAATATTTGTAAAAAAAAAAAAACAAATATATTTGTAATATTATAATTGCAGTATATTATAATGTATTAGTGCGGATTTTATGTATGGAATATTACACCGTCAAGATGTCTTCCATCACGTTGAATGCATTCTTCAAAGCGGACTAGTGAATTTGCAGACACGCTCCAAAGCGGCTTATGATTTTTCCGATCTTGAATGAATCTTTATGATATTATGAAGAGATTTTTTTTATTTTTGTAACAAATGATCCATTTTAAAAGATCTGTAAACAGGCTATATTTTTTTCAAAATATAAAGAAATCAGTAGTGCAATGCTTTTGGTTAAATATTACACTAATCACGCTTCGGAAACTGAGTTGTACCTACAAGCTTTATGAACCCAAAACGCTAACCTGCAATTTAGTTCTTGCTTGGTAGTTCTTAGTTCGACTATCATTATAATTTCTATGTACTATCGATGTATGTTTTGAATCATTGATCTGGAAAGTTATACATTCAACTTTCTGCTTGATATTTTAGTAGATGATGTAATTATTATTATGAATCGAAAACACGACAATTTAATCTTTATTATATATAACCCAACCCCTTTTTTATTTGTTCATATATACCTGGGAAATTTTGTCATATCGATATGATCGTTAACCATGATAATGAGGTATATTCCAACGTAGAATAGTCATCAAAGTTCATCAAAGTCGGATTTTTAGTATAAGATATCCTCGGAGATGATCGTTCTACACACATTTAATTATTAAATTGGTAGTCATTGTGTTACTTCATTACAGTATCAACAGTGGATGTGGACGCAGTCCTGGGTCGAACGGCGTCTTTGCCATGTGATGTCACACCGGATGCCAATGAAGACCGAGTGTACATGGTGTTGTGGTTCCGTGCCGGAAAGAACACCGGTGGCAAGCCTATTTACAGGTAGAGTTTTAGTTAAAATTTAAAATAGATAAAATTCAAAAATATTTATGAATTTTTTGGAGTTAAGGGCTATCTTTTTATTTAAAGTTGTATGAAAGTGAAACTGTGGGAGCGCTAAGTCGGCACTGCATGCTGTCTTACGTAAAAAATCTAATATATATACATTGATATTCGTTAAAAAAAGTGTTACATAAACATAATAATTCCACTCTCTCTTACTTGAGATTCTCAAATCTCTCATCTCAAATCCAGCTAATTATTGAGTAATTCATTCCGTAATGTATTTATATAGAGTAGCCTACTACTGAACTAGAACCAGATTTTCGACATGTCCCTACCCACCCATATATCATCCGGTCACAAAATTGTTCGAACCAAAAGCAATATCAATCAAAGCCTAGTTGTTGTTTGTACAAAAATTTTACACTATTGAATTTTTTGTTTGTAAATTAACTTTTGCTTTATAAACATGAGTTGACATTAAATATCAAAGGTTGGGTACACAACTTTTTTACTTTGAATCTGTTTATGCTGTCAAAGTGTTTATATACTGTCTGCAAAAATTCAAAATTGGAGCCTAATGTAGAATTTTGTTTGCTTTAAAAAATTCAAAAATGGAATTTCGAATTTTTGGCATCTAAAGCAATAATTAATGATCTACTTTGTTTTAACTTAAGCATGATTTTTAATACAATAAACATCTTATGCGAAATTGTACTGGAGTCTTTAGTCTATATAACTCTCTATACAATGCATACTTGAAGGTACGTATTTATCATCTATCTTTCTTTAAGAAGGCATTGTATTATTAAATTTATCAATATATATTATATATACATATATAATTACTAATTATACCCGTCTGGATGAAAGTCTTTTCAACCTTAGAGTGAAACCTAACTCTTCACTATCCAGGCATCCGGTTATTACAAAATAAATAAATAGATAGACAGAAAACTTTCCTCAAAAAATTATAATTCAAAGGGTCGTATATTGGAAAATGCGTTAAACTTTGTCGAATAAAACTTTAACGACTCGTAAATAGCGTACAGGAATGAAGTCAATATTTCCTTCCTCATTAATAATAGGTGAACAAGTAACACGTCACTATACTTCACTTGGGTTCAGTGAAAACAGGTCAAGATGTACCGCGTTGGATTTAGAATTGAAGCTTCTATTTCGCTTGATTTTTTGCAGAACTTCTTCTGCGCACTAGTATTTATTTTGGGAACATTATAAATGCAGAATCAAAGTTTTTTAGTAATTGCAAATTAGTGTCTTATTTGTATATTTGCAACGGGTGTTTTATTAGATACTTTAGGTCTAATACATCGACAACTAAGTGTGTTTGAAGATGAGACTAAAAATTACAAGAAGCTTTAATTGGCTTCCATAATTTTATGTTATAATAAAAAATATGGAGATGTTTATGGTTTTATGGTCAGCAAAGAATCACCTCCAAGCAATATTAGTAACTAAAAATTGTTCTTGAAGCCGACTACAAACAGTGGTAACCTAATGACTGGAGCGTGTCTCTCATTCTTCCGAATCACGGCTGCACCAATGCACTTGCATATGAAAGGAAAGTAGGAAACAAATCGTGAGAAAACTGGCATGCTTTCAACCCTGAAGTCGATATACTATCACGTCTAAAGAAAAACATATCACGATACAGAAATCTGATACTAAGAACTCAGCACGCCGTCTCTTTTACGACAGCTTTGCTCTATTGAAACTTGCTATATACATAGAAGATAATTGCACAAAGGCAATAGGCAACGTTTAGGATCACCGCCATTAAGTTATGGAATAGGCTGCCCGACTCCATACGATTTGCTACATCCTTAACATCTTTTAAGACATATCCTATCCTGCTCAATCGTGACTTTTGTAAATCTTGTATTTCTTGTTATTTTGTATTGCATCGTGAAATCATGAATCCGTGAGATTAGCTTTTTAGTTTATTTTATGTTTATTGTATTATTTTACATCAAGGGTGGTGATTCTATATTTTTTTTATAAGATTTGGTGATGCACTTCTTGCACTTTACCCATATTTCTTTTATTAGTTTTTTCCTTACTAGGGTTGTCTGGAAGAGATCGCTTGTTAGCGATAAGGCCGCCTGTTGCATACTTTTTATGTTTTACTTTTTACATACCTATACTTTTTATGTTTTTCTATAAATGCAACGAAGTGATAAATAAAAATAAATAACAATGGAGTGGATATCCCACATGGTAGCAGAAAAAAGTTTATACCCAATAGCAAAGTACAAAACTTACAGCAAGCATTTAAAGAGTAAATTAAAAACCATGTACCCCGAGAGGTTTTTGCGAATACTTTTTATGTTTCACTGTTTTTCTAAACAGGTAACTGAGGCGAGCGAACGATTTTTTCGGCATCGGCCGACCTACTTTAATACACGTGCATGTACCTACTGTATTTATACTAGCTGTGACTTTAAACCCGAATCTTATCATTGCTTTGCCCTGTTCGTTTACATGAAAACATATTTCAAAATCCAATATGCTAAGACAACCTATGATAATCTAAAATATAATATATAATACGATTCTAAATATGAATATTAAATATATAAAACAAAGTCGTGTTAGTTACACCGCTTATAACTCAAGATCGGCTGGATCTTTATCCTTCTGAGTTATTATTATTAATAATTATATTTAATTATTACCCTAATTAAATAATTATTTACTCCAAAAAAACTCACAATTTTTAAGAACAGAAAACTTCTTTAACATGAATATAGAAACCTTATTATATTATAAAAACCATCGACCAAGACAAGGTACCCATTATGTGACCTTCATCACCTTCCATTAGGGGCCCATTAAAAGCTCTCGTTTAGGCATAAGCATAAATTAAGGAAAATTATAAAAGTTTTCTTTTATAAATTATACTTTTCTATACTATGCTGTCAAGTTGTATATATATATATATACAGTGTGTATATTTCACTTAACTTTAGTTTTGTTAGGTATTTTTATTTTTATATACATTCATTATCATGTGAGCAGTGTTGGCTTAGTAGCTTCGGCGTGCGTCTCTTATTCGTGAGGTAGTAAGTTCGATCTCCGACTGTGCACCATTGGACTTTCTTTCTATGTGCGCATTTAACATTCGCTCGAACGGTGAAGGAAAACATCGTGAGGAAACCGACATGTCTTAGACCCAAAAAGTCGACGGCGTGTATCAGGCACTGGAGGCTGATCACCTACTTGCCTATTAGATTAACAAATGATCATAAAACAGATACAGATCAGAGGCCCAGATCTAAAAAGGTTGTAGCACCACTGATTTATTTTTTATTTATTCATTGTATTGTACAAGCGGACCAAGTAATACAGAAGATAATCAAAAGGTTATAAATTTTAATAAATTATGCACCTGTAACGAGTAAACCGTGCGTGTTATAGACATTACAGAACATTTCGAGTCTAACTGAATTTTTTGTAGTTAAGGCATCTAATCTATATTAGGTATAAAATACTCTTTAACTTAAAAGTTAAAACTCTACATATGAAAATTCAGCACTTGCAGTAAAATTTACCACACCAGGCATAATTCTGTAAAATTTGTCACATAAATCTCATTTAAAGAAGAAGTACGGAACTCTTATTATATATTGTGTAAAATGGCCTCTTTTATGGCCGAATGTAATGAAAATTTTAAAAGTATCCTCTTATTTATAACTTTAGGATGCAATAACTTTGAATCCCCAGTATGCGCAACTGAGATGCAACGAACTCTTTTTTTAAATTTAAAGTTCAAATTGCGATGGATTTCTCAATTAATTAACTTTAATTAAAGTGAGGAGATTGATCAAAAAACACTCTTATTTTACACAGCAATCTCCTTAGATGCATTTTTAATATTTTATTTGTGTTATCTACGCTATTTGTCGTCGTTCACAGATGGTTACATTTATACTAAAAAAATATATAATGGCAGTAAATGTAAAATTAGAAGCATTTAGCATTTTATATGTATTTCTTTATTGACGTTCATAAGTGTACTTTGTGTTACTTAAATTAATAAATGATTTTTGAATTATGAATGTTATATTATGAAATAAATTAATATAATTAACTTACATGCTAATGTCTATCCTTCAAAATAAAATGCCTACCACAACACAATATTAATCTATATTTCCAGGGCTCAAATTCGTAAGCGAAACATAAACTTATAATTTTGGTCATCCTTATGATTTTCTTTCCTATAGGATGCTGTCTCGATTAATAAATAAAATGTGATAAATAATTATTTTAAATAAACGGCTGGATGTTGGCACGACTTTCTAATTGCCTGATATCTATTTGATATTGTAATAAGTGTGTATTTAAATGTTGCCATATTAGCGCCGCGGAGTTTGTATTTAAGCTAATTATGTTGTATTTTTTTTCAAAAAATACTGATATATTATCGTTTATATTCATTTATTTCATTGTGTATTACTCACGTACGTCACCAAATTATGTAATCATGCCTTGATTACTAAAGTCTTGGTTGTCTTATGACTCGCCCAGTTTGATGTTGTAGTAGAATTTTATATATCACACGTAAGTTTGATCACGCTGTAAAATATCAATAGTATAACAAGACACTAGAAAGCTGCTTACTTTATAAGTATATTTACATTATCATTTATAACCACAACCCTTATTGATACAATTGAACTAACAACTATAACAGCAATATCAATGTGACGAGGTATTGAGATTATAATCAAGCACGATCCACTATAATTATGCGTCACCGTTACGTGAATAATTTAGACCCGACTACGCCAAATTACCTTTGGCGATAAAGGCGAATTTGGAATATAAATTAATGAACGCCGGACAATATTTAAAATTGATTAAATTTGTTAAGCATAAACAATTATTGCGTTTAAAGTACAGTAATACAAAGTTATGATCACGAATTAATAAACAAGTTTTTAACAAGTAAGATGGCAAAAAATCTGTTTTATTTC